TAAACGCGACCCTGAGCTCCGCGTTTCTACTGTAGAATGTAAGCCTCATATTTATGAGCACAAACATGAGCTTCGCGAGAACCAGACTGAACGCGGCCCTCAATGACGCGTTTTACAGCCAAAACGCGGATCTCAAGCCTTCGTTGAACGCGAACTTCAACTTCGCGTTTCCCAGTCAAAACACGACCCTCGTGTCGACAATGAAGAACGCGACCCTCATGTTGCCAAACCAAAATGCGGACCTCGCGTTTCAAGTGCCAAACGCGACCTTCGCGTCTCAAGTGCCAAACACGGTTTCAAGTGCCAGACGCGACCCTCACGTTTCAAGTGCCGAACGCGACCTTCGCGTTTCAAAGGCCAAACGCGACCCTCGCGTCCCAAGTTATACTCTGCGTAGCGCGACTAGATTGAGGGGCGGATATAAGAAGTTTATGGATTCAAGGCATCTCAACCAGATCCATATTCACCAAGAGCCAGTCCTGTCCAATCATGGACTGGGGGTTCCAGTTCAAACCTCACGATCAGTGAGTAATTCTCCTCGAATCTTTACAACAGATTTAAGAGAGTTCATATCGAGAGAAAGACCGATGCAGCAAGTCATTCGCTCATTCCAATGTGAACGGCTGATTCCTATGGTCCTCTCGGGATATCAATGCTTCTCATATACGGCCAAACCATTGGTGTTCAACCAATTAACGGACGTTGCTTTGTCTAACCAACGACGACGTTCGCACAGGAAGAAGTCTCCAGAGACCGAATATCCTGAGGTCACTATCAATATGATCGGCAGAGGGAAAGCCTCAGGTCCTAGTTCCGATGACTCTGAGACAAGTTGTTCGCCGACCGTCAGAGAAATCGCTAACGAGTTTGAAGGAGTTTACCGACGCACTCGGACGCGAACATGAGCCATTCCCCCTGTCAACTATCAGAGGTTAGCCAAGGGAACCAATTCCAATAATGAACACTCAGCCATTGCAGAGTCCCAATCATCAAGCTCTTTTATTGAACATGAGAGCCCCGCTTATATGATGGGAAACCATGAAGATCTCACGAAGAGACTTGATGAGCAGGAGGCCATGATCAAATCTCAGCAAGAGGCCATCAATGAACTCATGGCCCTGTTGACTCAAATCGTCGCAAACAAGGCCAAATCTCAGAAGACATATTCGCCACCCAGGCAAGAATCTTACCGGAGAGAAAAAACGTCTTCATCCCGACCTCACACAAGCAAAGGGAAGGGAAAAGTGGTTGATGAACCAACATATTTATCATTTTAAGTCACAGACTGGGAATGTAATATCAAACGATGCCATACTGGCTCGATTGTTCATTGGCACCCTTAAGGAAGTTGCCTTTGAATGGTTCAGGAAACTACCTGTCGGATGTATCCAAAGGTGGGCAGATTTAGAAAGACTCTTCCTGTCAAGATTTTTTGAAGAGGATACAGAAGTCTCCATCCATACCCTTCTCGCCACTAAGCAGAAGAAGAGGGAATCCGTCAAAGCCTTCGTCAAAAGGTTCCGAACCATGGCTCTAAGATGTCCGACAGGTATGACACAGTCTTCCTTAGTGGAGACATGTCGACACAACTTGCAGACCAACCTTCTAGCACAAATGAGGGTTGCAGAATGTCGTTCCTGGAGACAACTAATTTTTCAAGGCGAACATGCTCAAAAGATTATTGCCAGGAACAAAGCTAAAGAACAAAGTAGGCAGGATCAACCTGAGCGATCGGACCAAGCCCAATCTTCTCCTGAGCAATCGGATCAAGCTCATTCTTCCCAGTCAGAACCGGAAGATACTACGACCACTGAAGCCAATCCTCTTCAGTAGGATGACGGGTCCAACAACTATCATGTTAACGATTACCTCTGATAGTCAAACTCGTTAGATAATGGCTCACTAGGCGATGTGTCATGTCTTCTCTTTTCCCCCTTGCACTTGTTCAAGACTGGGGGTTTGTTTATTGGTAGTTCATTGGATTATGAGTAATAAATTTTCTGAGTTGTTATGTTTAATAGAATACCTCTGTCAACCACAAAATATACCAAAACTATCACGTTAACAGTTACCTCTGATAGTCCATCAATCTGCCAATCCTCTTTAATAGGATGGTAGGTCCACAAAACTATCACGTTAACAGTTACCTCTGATAGTCCATCAACTTGTCAATCCTCTTCTCAATAAGATGACAGGTCCATAAATCTATCACGTTAACAGTTACCTCTGATAGTCTATCAATCTGTCAATCCTCCTCAATAGGATGACAGGTCCATAAATCTATCACGTTAACAGTTACCTCTGATAGTCCATCAATCTGCTAATTCGTTTCAATAGGATGGCAAGTCCACAACTATCACGTTAACAGTTACCTCTGATAGTTAAACTCATCAGATAATGGCCTACCAGGTGGTGTGCCTCTATTCCGACTTCATGGATAGTACCCCCACTAGGCGATGTGCCTTGTCTACCTCTTTTTTTATTCCCCTGCTAAGTCTTAATCAAGACTGGGGGTTGGTTACTTGGAATCCATTGGATTAAGAGTAACGAATCTTTCACATCGTCGAGTTAACATTACACTTCTGACGATCATCATCCCCACAGAGTATGCATTCAACTTGCATCACTCCCAATTTGTCACGTTAACAATATACCTCTGACAACAATCAACTTATCAATCCTTGACAATAGGATTACCAATCCTCAAAATTGCGCAAATCGTAATCTTCCCCAACAAGACACTAAGTCTTCAAAATCTTGTTCAAATCACAAGCATCAAAATTTATCACTTTTGATGATAAACTCATTTAGCAAGTTTCCCCAGCGAGACGCTAATTCCTAAATTCTTGTGTAAGTCACAAGAACACATTCCTGTCAAGTTAACATCAAACCTCTGACAAAATCTACTTATCAATCCTCGTCAATAGGATGATAAGTCCATAAAGTTGCTCCAATCGCAACACATTCTCTTGTCACGTTAACACCAAACCTCTGACAATTTACTTATCAATCCTCGTCAATAGGATGATAAGTCAACAAAGTTGCTCCGATCGCAACATTCTCTTGTCACGTTAACATCATACCTCTGACAACCCACTTATCAATCCTCGTCAATAGGATGATAAGTCCACAAAGTTGCTCCAATCGCAACACATCCCTGTCACGTTAAAAAGTTATACCTCTGACAACAATCCACTTATCAATCCTCTTCAATAGGATGATAAGTCCACAAAGTTGCTCCGATCGCAACACATCCCTGTCACGTTAACATTGTACCTCTGACAACCCACTTATCAATCCTCTTCAATAGGATGATAAGTCCACAAAGTTGCTCCAATCACAACACACATCCTGTCACGTTAACACTACACCTCTGACAAAAATCCACTTATCGACTCTC